AATGGCCTGATTTTCTATTTTATGTGTTCCTAATATATATTTTTTCAATATACATTATGAATCTGTGTATATGTGACTTTTTACCTTTTTAGCTATAAATGTCTTTTTTTCAAATCTGTTTCTGCATAGCAGCTTCCTGTTGTCTTTTTTGTGTTGGTGAAAGTTTTTTCTTCTTTATTTTTTCAATTGAAACACAATTATCATTCGATAAAAAATGGTAGATTAAATTGCTTTTGATAGATAAATAGTCATCATTTTCATTTTAGGTATTAGGTTCCCTCATTTTTACGATAATTTTCCTGGTTTTATCATGCTCACAATCATTCTGCACATATCATGTTTTCTGTGTCTCAGTACATTTTTGTACTTTGTTTAACCATTTGATTATCATAAAGGGCCAAATTATTAAAACAAGCCTACGTCCCATCGGAGAAAGTGCTTCTCCCAACTTCCCACGTGATATGACCTTAACGTGATGATGCCTTAGTAGTATTTATTCATTCGTCTTCCACAAATTCTATCAAATCTGTCATAATATACACTGTATTTTTATTTAAAATATTTTGAATAAAATTTTAAACTTTTCATGTTGTCTTTTTCTTTTTTGACTCATATTAGTACAATTCATTGTTATCTTTGGACTTTAATGATCAGTAAGCGTTAAATGCTCAAGGTTACAGAATTAGCATCTGACTTTTACACAGCTTTTCATTCACTGTTTAAATGTACATGGGATAGAAATTCGGATGAATGTCAACGAGTGTAGCAAGGATCCAATGATGGCATTTCGTATCACAAAAATGGGGCTTGAGTCTTCTCATCGTTGTCAACAATTTATTTAAAGTTGCTAATGTTATTAATTTCTTAACCAACGAGAATCTATTCCCCATTTGAGAGACGTGGCGTCGAGAATGCCGTGCGCCTTACTGAACGCTTAAGTCGAAGGACGACAGAGAATTGTACTATAATAGAAAATATGCCTTCAAAACGGCTTTTCACAACTAAATGAATTTCACGGAATAAAATTGGGTAAAAGTTACTAACTTTTTTGAAATGAGATTTATATGCACGAATTAGCATGCTCTCTTTTGGTTGTTCTTTTTATGTAATCATTAATGTATCGTAAACCTTATTATGTGCAGATAGTTATAAAGTCGAACTTCGTTAACTCGGTTTTCGATATACGGAAGTTCAGCTTAACATAACTACACAATTTTTATTGATAACGATCTTTATTGATAACGAAATTTTGATAACAAATAAATTTTAAACGCCAAATGTATTATATTACAAATACTTATGTAGAAACTTTTTATTGTCAACAATAACAATGAAAATTAAATTTACCAGAATTTTCTTTGAAAATTCACGCATGAACTTCAATTTACATCACATCGAGAATGGATACTTCCAATTAACAAAGAGAATAATTTTTGTATGAAGTCCAAGTTATTTCCTAGGGGTATTTATAAAAGAACGTAACAATCCATTCCTTGCTATATTTTATAGGAAATTATCTTAATATTTTTTATATACATGTGTACTGTATGTGTATTATTTACAGTCAATAAATACAAAGACATATATATATAAAATTGTGATTTATGTTTAAAGCCAAAATTGTACCTCTCAATTCCGTCAAAAACTATGGACCTTGGTCAGTTCGATGGCTCGAATCCATTTTATTAGAAATGGAGAGATACTTTGGAAATCACAGATACATTATAGGGCTCGGTATTGGCCAGCGATTCTGAATTGTGGTATATTGTGATATTTTCAACTGTATTGCGATATATCTATATGCACAATGTGTATTGCAATATTTTCAACGAAAATGAAAATCATGGCATTTTCTCATTATAGGTATTAACTTCAATTTACATGCAGGATGTCCATACTCTGAAATCACAAATTTTCGTGGGGGATTAATTTTTGTTGTTTTCGGGGTATGGAGAGACCCACGAATTCATGTCCACCATGATGTTACATACATTGTAACTACTCAACAATTCTTCATCCACGAATTCAAGTCCCCACGAACCAAGACTTTTTTCTCAAACCACGAAAATTTGACCCCAGGAAAATATGTGATTTTACAGTAACTATGATAAGAAACCAAAAGGAAAAAAAGTTCATTTAATTTCAGTTATACAATTAAATACATCGGCTTCTGTCGCACTGTTATGCTAAAGAAGCACAGACCTTTAAGACTTTTCTTTACATTTCATGATAGGTTTCCTGAGTCCAAGGATTTTGCAGTCACATCGGTATAAGAAAAATTCATTCGATAAGATAATTTGTCGCTTTATTGCAGTATCCCGAAAAATCGATATTTTAAAGATATCAATCTCAAATTTATAAACAATAGAAATAAGTAAAGAGAGAGTGAAACACGGACCTCCGAGAATTCCAGAGGTGGGATCAGATGCCTAGGAAGAGCAAACATCCCTGTTGACCAGTCACATTCGCTGTAAAAATTATCTGTATTGATCAAATATAAATTGATAAACTGGATAAAGATTTTGAGTGAACGCGACCGAGTTCTTAACTCGAACAGTATGAGAGACTTCAGACATAGCCGAAGAACGTTAACTCATACATAGCATGTTTCATACTAAATCTTTCAAAGTTCACATATTGCTAAACAAAAGCTGAAAAAAAATAAATTCAAACGATAGAAATAAGTTTATGTAAAATTGTTCTTTTTTAATCAGTAAAAAGATTGCAAGAGGTCCATTGGCGATAATTAATATTTATCTGCTTAATTGGAGTTGTTGATTTAAAAAAAAAATAAATAATAAAAATATTGAAACTTATTTGTATTGAAAAAAATATATATAAAAAAAATGAATAAAATAAGACTTTATATTAATTTTTATCCGCTTATAAAAGGAAAAAAAAAATTTCTAATTTTTTGCCCCATATTTCCAAGATTTGCATTACTACACCCGTTTCAATGAAACGTGAATTAAACAAAACATTGAGTGAGGATACTTCCATAATTATATGATTTTAACAATTTCTACATAATATTATATTGAAATAAAAAAAACAAGATTTCAAAATATATTCTTTTATCTAAATAAATGGACGCAATTTTAACAAATGGATTTATTACATTAAAGAACGTCCATTGCTAAATGACCCCTGAGAGCCTAGCACTATAAACAATTTTCATAAATTGAATTATATAAGCATATAGTTTTATGGAATGGATGAAAAGTAGTATTTGCAGACAATTCTCAATTTAAAGCGACAGTAGAATAAGCGAAGTACTGACTTTAACCGATATTGTTGAAAACCTTACATAATCAACTTATTTGTCAGTAGGTTGCCTAGGATGATTAATAATTGTTTAAACTCAGACGTGACCATGACTGATTCTTACTTCTTCTTTGCATAAGCTATTTTACGCCACTTTCTCCCTTTGCCATCCTCATTAAAATTGAAAGGCAGAATAGACAATCATGCATTCCTTTTATTCCTTTAATTGGCTGATATTTTATAATTTCCTTTTTTCCAAGATTTCAATAAATGACTGCTGAAAGGTTAAATATCAGCACCACTCAGTTGCATGTTCTCTATGCTTAGCTTCTCTCTGAAACACAAAATACAAGATTTTTTATTAACGATTTTCAGCCGCAAAAGCAATTACGAAGTATATTATTGAACTCTGTCATATTGAGTGAAGCATAAAAATATTATAATACGTACTGCATGGTCCTGGGAAAAAGGTAACACCTCTGTAAAATTAAAATGCATATAATTATATCAAATACATATACGTCATTCAAAGAGAAGTAAAAAGCTAAAGTTGCTATCAGCAGTTAGTAAGTTCATCTAAGCCTTATACATACGCGCAATTGGCAAGGCATTCATTATCATAAGTGACTTCGTTCACTCCGCAAACTGGTTTCATTATTTTTTGACATGGACAAACTTTACATTTTCCTTGGCTAGCAATAGGAACACCTCTAAAAAACATTTAAAACCATAGTTAGTTTTATAAATCAGAGAAAAATAAACTGGACATGACAGGAAAGCGTGTAAATGGCAATTGCTTAACTAAAAAAAACCATTACGCTGCTCGGGCTCTGCAGGCATTGCTGTATGTTTTATTGTCTTTGCCACATACAGGTCGGTAGTCCATATTACAAACTGAAGGTCTTGGTGGACTCCTGGAGTCAGATACTGCCAACACACCAAGTATAACGCAAACTGCTAGTATTCCGTATTGCATGACTGAAATACAGTTAAAATCTGTCACTATGAGAATACAAATATTTCACAAGCTTTTCAGTTGTAACTGGTTATCGTAAACGCGTTAACCTTGATTTCCCACTAAGAAGTAATTCTTAGTATATGTTTTATATACATGATATTAAAAATATTTCGTAAAAGATTCAAAGAAATTGAACTTGAAAGCATTCATGTAAGTATAATCACCTTACTTTCAATGCAATAAGTTTCAAGTTTTTAATTCTTAATGCAACATAACTATGACATCTAAATCAAATAAAACAATAACTTTTTCAAAACTAATTAATATAGGTAGTTAATACTCACTGAGATTCAGCAATTAAGTCGAATGTGTGTAATTTCACTCTCGAATGTCCATATTTATATACCGGTCCTGCATGTACAACTTGTGTGTTGATAAATGAGAACTGTAATATTTATTATTAATGACTTCTAACTGGACGAGGTTTAATATTGGACACCATCTGGTGTTCACATAATTTTGACCATCAATTTGATAAAACCATTTCCAGCATTTATTTCGCCATTCATCTATCAATTTTACGACTCCAGATCCAAGTGAAAATGTTTATTGTTTTGTAGAGTCAAATTTAATGTATTCTAAACGGATATTTTAATTCCATACAAGGGTCTTTGGATAAATCATTAAACTATGTTTTGATTTATTGATTGTACAGTGTATTTTTTTTTAATGTACATGTACGTCTCGAGACTTTTTCACTCATATGCACACGCCACCACTTGCCGGTGGAGAGCTGTAAATTTTTGTCCTCTGCTCTGCACTTAGGGCCATTGGGCACTGATGAATATTTTTCGTGCCAGCTCCTACTGCGACAGGGGCCTCGGTTTATACAGTCTCATCCGAAGGAACGGCTTCTTCATACCACAGTGGGGTTCGATCAACTCCTAACTTCGCGACTCATTAGCAGAAGCTCTTACCACTGCACCTCGCAGACGACTTTTTTGCTTTGAGAGTGACATTATATAAAAACTGTAAGAACTAAATAAAGAGAGTTTTTGTGTAATCAAAACTAGATATTAAGACACCGTTATAAAGATAAAATTATATGTTTTAAGATATATAGGAGTATTTATCAGTGTTGGATGTCTTTGGTTTCAAAATGGTGTCCTTTATAATATCAGAGGACAAGTGGTATTAAAACGAAACGATTTTGTGTTCGCTTTTCAGTCTTAGAGATTAGTATGTTATACGTGTACATGTATTTACAGTTACACCAGGTAAACTTTATTATTAATAAATATTTTTAAGAAATAAATAACAAGTTTATAAACTTCAATGGGAATTGAAGTGGGTCGGTCACATGATCAAATCCTGTGAAGGCCGAAGGCCTTCTCAGAAGATTTGATCACGTACCGACCCACTTCAGTTCCCACTGAAGTTTATAAACTTGTTATTTATTACTTATATATACATTTGAGACAGACAATTGAATATTTTCGAATTAAATTATTGCACTAACCGTCCGTCGTAGATTTTGAACCAGAAGTCTCTGTCGAGACTGAAGCTCTACTGGTTTGTACTTATAGCAAAGGAAGAGAAAAGTACTTAAGCAGTTGGAAATTGAAACTTTTCAACAGCAATAAATAGAATAATGATCCTTAATTAAGTCTCTTTATGCTCTTAGTGCAGTCTACTTGCATACCACATTTATATTATAATCAGACTAAAATTGTATTTGGAGTAGCATTTTGAAAGAATTTCACAGAAATTTTTAGTAACCACGGCAACACCGTTCATTGAAATCAAAAACTGATACACAGAATTATGTATCTTATTGTAGTCTACTTGTGTGCCAAGTTATATTGAAATCAGACCAAAACTGTAGAAGGAGTAGCATTTTGAAAAAATTTCACAGATATTTCTATTTTTAGTAACCACGGCAACACCATTCATCGAAATCAAAAACCGATATACAGAATTGTGTATCTTAGTGTAGTCTACTTGTGTGCCAAGTTATATTGAAATCAGACTAAAACTGTAGGAGGAGTAGCATTTTGAAAGAATTTCACAGAAATTTCTATTTTTAGTAACCACGGCAACACCGTTCATCGAAATCAAAAACCGATACATAGAATTATGTATCTTAGCGTAGTCTTCTTGTGTGCCAAGTTATACTGAAATCAGACTAAAACTGTAGAAGGAGTAGCATTTTGAAAGAATTTCACAGAAATTTCTATTTTTTAGTAACCACGGCAACACCGTTCATCGAAATCAAAAACTGATACATAGAATTATTTATCTTATTGTAGTCTACTTGTGTGCCAAGTTATATTGAAATCAGACTAAAACTGTAGGAGGAGTAGCATTTTGAAAGAATTTCACAGAAATTTCTATTTTTAGCAACCATGGCAACACCGTTCATTGAAATCAAAAACCAATAAACAGAATTATGTATCTTAGTGTAGTTTACTTGTGTGCCAAGTTATATTGAAATCAGACTAAAACTGTAGGAGGAGTAGCATTTTGAAAGAATTTCACAGAAATTTCTATTTTTAGTAACCACGGGAACACCGTTCATCGAAATCAAAAACCGATATACAGAATTATGTATCTTAGTGTAGTCTACTTGTGTGCCAAGTTATATTGAAATCAGACCAAAACTGTAGGAGGAGTAGCATTTTGAAAAATTGTTTACGGACGGACAGACAGACAGACGGACGGACGACGGACGCATTACTATCACATAAGCTCTTCTGGTCTCTGACCGGTAGAGCTAAAAATGACGCAAGGTGTAAATCGGCTTGAATAGCGGTTACGCTTCGAATTCACCAGGCTAAGGATTTTATTTCTAAGGGAATATTTTGTGAAAGGCTACTTCTGATCGGTACTAGTGAACAGATTGTTGTCTGGGAATATTTTATTCGTGAAAACTGATAATCAATGCTGAAAAGACACAAGAGACACGTCCGATTCGAAGATCGATGATAAAAAGTTGGAGGAATTTCGGTCGCCAGAAAGGGATGGATGGATCCGATGGATGGAAACACTTGATCGAGCTAGTTAATTTGCAATCAATTGGATTTGATCAAAAACATTCAATCTGCGATTTCAATGAATAAAGGCATATTTATTATGAAAACACGGAGACACTGGCGACAGCTTATTGTTACGACAACTCCGAAGTGTTTGTCAGCGTTTGTGGCGTGATTGCAATGCTTTGATATTTTCCAACAGATTTACACATTTATCGTTAGTAGAATTTAATGAAAATATTATAGTTTTTCATGGAATTTTAACTAAAGGTCTACCCAAAAAATTAGGATAAACGCTAGAGACTGTGCAGCTGACAAAAGTGTCATAAACGTTGTAAACAAACGCTAGTTTTCATGTGTATATTCCCTATGTACGCAGGTTAAATCGATACATGTAGCCAAAAATGTATAAAATACTCGTTTACATCGTAAATAAAATAATAATTATTTTACTTGCTTATTTTGTTCATTTCTGTACATGAAAAACAAGTAAAGCAAGTCATTTTGTACCGGTAAAGATCATTGCGCCGTGTGATTAGGTCATGTATTGACCTCTGACCTCTGACAAACTTCATACAGAATTGAAGATATTTGTTCTCTGTATGTTTATATAATAGAGAGATACCACAAATGTATATATTTTAAAATGATTTTTTTTATTTCAGGGATATGATAGAAAATGAAAGACATTTCTTTTATTTAAATAATTTAAAAATATATCGCAAAAATAATTCAGTGACCAGAGCCAGCTGGCTAGGTAGCAAAAATACAGCCTCAAACGTTAGTTTATAATAATTTACGTAAAATATATATACACGTATCATGTTGTAAATTTTGCCTTTACCTCCCCGTAGTAAATTCAAAATTTATAACATGATAACTTCTGAGTTTGATACTCGGCAAAAGTTATCATGTTGTAAATTTTGAATTTACCTCCCCTCGAAGTTTTTCGATCCCTATCTTACTTAGGCCAAAAATTAATAATAGTATTTAAAACTTCGTTTTTCGATCCCTATTTTACATCGGCAAAAAGTTATTTTAGTTTTAAAACTTCGTTTTCAGATTTCTTTTTTACTTTGCAATCGGCAAAATATTATTAATAGCGAGCGCAGCGAGCGTCGCGAAGCGACGCTCGCAAACCGAGCTCAATAGACTAACGTGTAAGAACAGAGGAAATTCGGATTGAAATATTCCCAGAATTCCTGCACTACCCAATTTGTTTTGCGCAAATAAATAAATCATAACGTAAAGTATTAAGGCTTTTAGTTTGTAGAAATCATTCAAAGAAACAAAAAATAACTCTGCAATGTTTTTCGACCAAAATCGCACTAATTCTATAGTTTAAGGATGTACAACACACCTACCCCAAAAAATTCCTGTCGTTTAATTTTCGTTATTTTTGTATATTTAGTACATGACTATATCTACTGCATGTATGCACAATTTGGCCAAAATCGTTCGAGTGGTTTTTGGACAGGAACTTCCAAAAGTTACCCCCCTTTAGTTGTTTACAAGGAGAGAAAATTTTTAATCAATGAACTACTTAAACATTGATTTTCAAAAAAGCCAGGTTAGATATAAATGTCAAATTTCATTGACTTATTCTTTTAGCCATTTAACACAAAAACATAGTCATCTTTTTGATATACATATCATCAAAACAATTTTTAAAGACCTTAAACTGAAAAACTATGAATTATCTGATCCTTGAAAATTGTGTATTTTTCAAATTCAAATTTTTTTTGTGAAAAAACCTGTCGTTTAATTTTGGTAAAAAACTTTCTTTAAGTAGCTGGTAGTAAAAATAATCTTCATAATTTTTTGTATAATTTATGTACGACCAGTTTTGATTTAATAGCGGAAAATTACCCCCTCCCCCCTTCTCAATAAATCACGTTCCCGCGCGTCTTTCAGACGCGGGTCGATCACTTTGTTATATGAATCTACAAATACACAATAAAAAAATTGAATTGGAATATTGCTTTTGCTTCAAAAATATAGTAACTTACAAATTTAAAAGTTTTCATACGTAAAGCGTATTTAAATGTAGATTTTTAGGCAATTTTTGAATACCCCTATCACCCCCACCCCTTTCTTTTTCGCGTCGCAGACCATTAGCGTTTGACGAAACGTCGTTTACAGTGCAAATATACTAGTATTTCGTCATTTGAATCCCGGAGGTATGCATTAGTTTTTAAATTCATGAATGCAGAATAAATATTGACTACTCTTTTTATATGTATCAGGAAAAAATTACTGAAGGATTTTAGTGTTTCGTCCATATATGTATGCGTTATGCATTCCAGATCACATGAAACCTGGATACGAATTCAAGTTTTGTTGAACTTGAATATGTTGATTTTTAATTTTATTTCTTTAATTTTATTTATTAAAAATGGTGTATGTTCAACTCTCCTGTGATATGAGTGGAATAATTGTAGTTTCTTTCATGTCATTATTTCAAACGAGACAGTATGCGGCTGTTGGGATACATCGACATTTGCATAGATGTACACCCCTCATGATATTGTACGCATTCTTTCAATGTCGTCGCTTCTAAAGTTAAAATGAAAATTCCGTATTCGTCCACATTAACTTCAAAATATCAAACATTAAACTCTTAATCTATTTCAATTTATATCAAATCGCACATTGATATATTTAAAAATCTTATAGGCTACGTTTTGTTTTGATTCGAGGAAATGCGAACCGACATTGTTGACGCTGCAATAGGATATTCATCAATGCAGATAATTTCAGTACTAGTAAACAATTCTTTTCAATTCTATACTTACATTGTGTATATGAGGTCTATATTATTCAATTCTCGGATTTTTGATATCAGGTCTTGCTGTAAATGTATCTGATTCTGTGGAAAACCGTGAATAAAGGGAGGAAAATAAACATTTCCTGCATTTTCAGAGTTGTTCCTCTTTGATCAGTAAGGGTCTGAGATCAACATCGATTTTACATTGTAAAAAGTTTTTTGTTTATTTATTGTTGTTTTATTTAATTAACGAAAAAAAAATATTTATATCATAAATTGTATAATGAAGACCATTAATCGGAATGTTATATAGCCAATTGTACATAATGAGAATTTCGGCAATGTAAAATAAAATTTTCAGAATAAAAAAAATGCTGCGCTTTGATCAAAAATACAATTTATTGTATATGAAATGAAATGAAATAAACATTAAGGGATGGTATTTTATGTCTTGCTTTTTACGGAGTTTAATCGGGTTAATTAAAAAAATACTTAAGTGTATTGATTGAGTATGGTACGCACAATCACAGCCAAGCCCTATATCCTAATTTTCTTTCATGCTTGATATACATCGGGATCGTTTTACTCGTCGTTTTGACGCTTTATTTTTGACGTTAAATTTGACGTCACGTCAAACGTTCAATTGAAACCGCAAGAGTTATCTCCCCCAGTGTGTTGTACGTCTTTAAGCTAGACGCTCGTCTGTCTCGTGCAGCTTGATGTTTAAAGTGGCTGATCAATTTTTTAAGTGTTTTGATAATACAACTGCGCTCGCCCCAACGGTCATACCGTAAAACATATTATTTTTAAAAACTTATTTTGGACCTGCAAGAAACTCGTATAATCACATGAATATATATACAAGAATATATCATATACCTAGTAGTTTATCCTGCAACTACCCCTCGCATTGACATAATAAAGGTAACCTAATAAACCAAAGCTTTATCCGGTCACTGCCCTAATAAAGCCTTGCATGTATTCCGACGTTCTAAAAGCATTGTGACGTCACGTATATTGCAATGTTTACGCCATGGCGTCATAGTTTCAACAGCAGAGACGCGTCTAAATCTGTCGAAAATAGCTAGTTTTGGACGTTCAAACGTAAATATATTGCAGGATAAACAAAATACATGATAACTGTCTTGAAATATAAGCGATATTTGGGCTCGGGTCGAAAACGCAAAAGGGCTCGGCAAGCCTCGCCCTCTATCACGTTTTCTTACCCTCGCCCAAATATCGCTTATATTTCAAGACAGTAACCATGTATTTTATATGTATCAGCCATGATACAGGCGTTTTGGACTGGGCGAGACAGCGCCTGGGATGTAGGGCTGTCCCGCCCTTGCGGCTGAGATATCTCTGTCTCGGCCCGTCGTCAAGGAGCTGTCTCGTCCTCAAATCATTATTTCTGTTGAATTTGTGTGAATTAAGATTAAAATTCATATTTAAGTATTAAAGAGAAACATTATACTAGAATATCGAAAAATTTAACCTGAATCATTAAACGTTATTTATTTATACTAGAATTTTGAGAAAATTTAGTCTCGTTTACCCCAGACTCTCGCTCTCGAGACTTGGGCCGAGCGAGAGTCTGGTCTGATTCCTATTTAATTTTTGTAATTTCAAATCGAGGCTTACCGAGAAATCGGTATGGATTTTCATTGGCTGACACATTCTCTTCGAATCTAAGATCTGTATTCTTTAAAAAGTCAGAGGCTGCGCCTTTACTTTTACCTGGTTTTATAATAAAATACCTCTGTCTGCTTTACAAGGAACAAAAAACGCACATATCTTTGTTTAAAAAGTAAATTCTCATATGTATTTTCATTGGAATCGCCATCTTGTTAGCCGGTTTAGCTACCTCTACTGGTTACAAAAATTAAATAGGAATCAGACCAGACTCTCGCTCGGGCAAAGTCTCGAGAGCGAGAGTCTGGGGAAAACGAGACTAGAGAAAATTGTTTTTAAAAAGTGCGCCAAATGATAGCACTTGTGACGTAAGAGAGGTAACTCTTGTTTACTTCTAAATCATGTTTTGAAAAAAGTGGACGTTTATTTGCTTTGACAGTAAGACAATACCAAGTTTTCATTTAAATGTATCATTTATATATATCGTAAACAAAACAGATAGCTACTATAAATCTCAGACTTACAAATTGTAACGATTCGTTGAAGAAGTTGTCACCCCGGTTCGATCCAAAGTGAAAGTAGAATATTTTTAAGTTTGGGACCTTTTAAATCTTTTTTATCTAATGTGCTTCAAAAAGAAATATTTCAAATCACCAGGACTATTCATTTTAATGACCACACCAGGCAAATCTTACTCTATATGATTATTCAATTACCGTCAAGCAACATCTTCACGAACATACATCGAAATAAAGAAAGATAACTCTAATTTTCTTACGACAAATTTATATAAACTTGTTCGTTTCTTTGGTTTTAGATATATGATATAAACAACATCACACCACTGTTTTGATCTCGGCCCTGGTATCAGCCCGAGCGGTTGGTATCGGCCCAAGCCCGAAGGGCAGTGTGATATTCTATATATCAACTATATGATAGTATACAGTTATGGAATGGGTACGAAGGAAATAGCAAATTTATGGTTCCCCGAGGGAGTAGTCCCAGGGAGTAGCTCTGATTTTCCAGGGAGTAATCTTTAGATGAGGGCAATAGTCTCTTCTCGGGGAAATAGACAGTTTTATGGTACTAATTTAATATAGACTAATTACAGTAGAGGTATAATAATGCTCCTTGGCACTTGATCCTACCTCTGGAATTTCAGGTGGTTCGTGACTCAAGTTTTTCATAGTGTCGTACTACTTGCTGCTTTTTAAAAGATCAATCATCTTCAGCTTTATCTTTCAAGATCCTCACCGTTTTCATCAATACAAGAATATTGATTGAACTCGAATCAAGGTCACAAAATCCCACGTGTGTGAGGATCATCAGCTATTTTATTACTAATTAAGGACCAGAAAGACATACCCCAACACATACTTTAAGTTACTGTATATGAATCAGTGAGTGACAAAAGCTGTTTCTAGATTCGTCTTAATTCAAGAAAATGTACGCAAGATTTAAATTCATACTATGGCAGCTGTGCTACTATTTACCTTTTGTTATCTACACAACGTTTGATTATAGAATGACATCATTTTTGCCCTGTGTTGATTTTGCATCGTTCCAAATGTTAATGCATGCTTTAGCCCTTCAGATTCACGTCCTGTAAAATGAATAAAATGATTACGAGGGTAGATGTGAATTTTCTACGTCAACCAACCAAGGATAACCCTTCTTATCTCATTAAATAGCAGATTAAAAACACAAGAACATGTAGAACATATTTTTTGAATTTATTCTTGAGTTTGTACAATTTTGCTTGGAAACTTGAATAGAGATATCAGAAAAGAAGTATCTAAGGCACCGTAGTACATGTAAACTGCTGTCAAATTCATTGAAATTCTGGAAAATAAACAAAATATATATTAATTTTTATTATCTCTAATAAAACAATTTTTAAATGAATAGTGAAGTTTCTTGTACATTTTAAATTATAGTTTTCCTAATTTAGTAATGATTTATGAAATTTATACATGACCATATAGAAATTACGTGGTGGAGTACATGTTTAGGTCTTTAATATATTACGAACTTGACTATCTTACAAAGAAAAAAATCTACATATTTGCTTACAACATTCTCCTGGAGTAAAACTGACGAGACTAAAATAGAAAAAAAAACTTTTCTTTAGATTCTAATGCATTGTTATTTAAATTTTATTTTATAAGAAAATGGAAAAGTGAGAATGTCATTAAATGGGATTACAAAAAAACAAACATTTTCTTTAAATTTCAAAACTTACTCGCATTTTGCCAGACAGGCGTTGTGGTAAGTTACACCGTTATAACCACAAACTGGTCTTAAATCTTTTGGACATGGGCAGTTGCACATTCCTTGGTGTGCAATTTGAACACCTCTGAACAGAAAAAAGTATTCAAACGTCATTGTTTTACCCATGTTAATTTTCTCTGTAGTCAAATTGATTTGAAAATAAATGCCAATGAAACGTACTCTAAACGATTATTGGCATTTGAGAAAAAAAAGATCTGAAATACAATTAGTGGGAGTATACAATAAGTGGGAGAATAACAAAAAAAGTCTTTGTTAAAACTTTTTTAACCAAAGAGAATGGAAAAGGGGGATAAAATTTAACCGTTAATTCTACAAAATCAGTTTTGTTTGTTTGTTTGTTGTTGTTGTTTCACGTCTCTCTCGAGAATTCTTTTTACTCATATAGATCGAGACGCCACCATTTACCAGTGGAGGCTTCAAATTTTGTCCTATACTCGGCACGTAGGGCCATTCAGCAGTGAGGGATCTTTTTCGTACCAGCACCTACTGCGACACGGGACCTCGGTTTATATGGTCTCATACAAAATCAGTATTTATGAACTTACTTTCTGTATAACTCTCATGTTACAAATTTTGAATCTATTTGGGTGGATTTAAATGCAAACTTAACATAATGAAAACTACATGATAAAACTAAGAGCAAATGATAATTAAAACATGTATTCTGAATATTTCTTGTTCTGTTATGATAATTGTCCAATTTTTAAAAAAAAAAATAAATACTTGATACAATTCTTGCGAATGTGATAAACAAGAATTAGAGATCTTTTTATAGGATGGTCGATATGAATTTTTAACTTACACAGATCCAGCCAAGCATGCGTTGTCATATGATTGGCCGTTCTCGCCACATACGGGTCTATACAGCGAAGAGCAGATAACCGAGCTCTCCCCGGAAACCGTGGAACCGAGGAAGGCTAGTAGAACACACGCTAAAACTGGTCTATAATCCATCTAAAATCAAACAATACACAGATAAGTCATGGTTTTACCTGTTAGCCAGCCTAAATATAGAATTAAACAGTAATATGATTTCCAACAATCTTAACAGTTGTGTAAGCATTGACTTAAAATTCCCAAAGTAAAAAACCTTTTTTCAGTCCTCTTCAATCGTCACTGATTGCACTTTATGCAATACAAAACTGAGGGCAGTATGACTTTAACTGGAGGGATAATTCTCGATGATCTGCAATATATACTTAATGTCATCAGTAATTACTAGCAATAAAATCATTGTAAATAGGCTAATTTCATTTATTTAGAAATGAACCTTATAGATATAACATTGATAAAAGTATTTACTCACGGTTAGGCTTCAACTTTGAGCATTTAAAAAAACTAAAGCTTAGATTTGCTTACATAGAAATGTCATCCTTGGTGTAGTCTTTTCTTTTTCAACTCGAGAATCGCTGTGCCATTTTCACTAAACTTTACTTTAGGTTAAGAGGATAACCAGATTTTTAAAAAAAAATAAGAATATTGTTCAGCAAAACTTAAAAGTGAAGTATTTAAAAGAGCATTTTTATAAAAAAATGTAAAAAACAAAAACAAAAAAAACCTCTATAGTACACGAAAAAGCAAGATCAAAAAGAGAACTATACAGTCCGATTTTTTTTCTAAATCGTTATTTAAAATAAGTTTTTACTATTCAACAGAGACATAATAATGGTATTAAAGTTTCCTGTAATCGTATAATCAGTGAACTTAAATAACCTTGAGAATGCGGACAATAACCTTCATGCCTCTAGGATTAATTCGGCTGTACATAACAGCAATGATTACAGCTATTTGTTAATTCATACATCTACAGAATCTGTTATTACTCGACAGATGCGACTACTGTTATTCCATATGATAAATAATGCCATTCAAATAATGTGCGATTGTCCAGTATGTGGTCTCGATAAATGATTTCAAAATTTTAAGTGACATCTGCGGAAATTTGCAGATATCTTTTTTTAACGGCTCAGTGAAATGGGGTATGCTGCGTTCATTTACAACAAATATTGTCTTGGAAATATATTTCACAAGGAATATTGATTGTTTTCTAGGATAGTTTTTACATATTTTCTTCATACAGTTTCGAATAGGAATTTCTCAAACAAAATTGTCGACCTGCTAACATGTATCTTCCGACAGGACTTAAAACAGAACACGTTTTTCAATTTTAAATCTATTCACTATTCTAAATATATTTTTGAATACTTAGTAGTTGAACTATTGAGCACGTATACTGTTTGTTATCTCCATAATTTATATTTCATCATCCCTTTGTTCAAAACTTTATTGTAAACCATTTCTTTCTGTTAAAAGTTTGTTACTTTTTCAAAGAATTAAAATTTAATATTTCGAGTTGGAATTTATTTAAAAAATATAGTTAAAAGGTTCAATTTAGAACAATTTTTGATTTTCCGTTCACTCTTCTCTCTCTCTTTAGACCTATTGGTTGACCATCTGCATTCTCTCACAAAAACTTAAACTGGTTGCATGATTCAATCTGCAACTAAATAAAGAAATATGTGTATACTTTTTTTGCTTGAATAGAGTAAGACTTAGTTTTCAGTCTTTTTTTTATATCCCACGCATCAAGTTGCGGGAGTTATAATGTTTTGACCCGTCCGACAGTCTGTGTGTCAGTCAGTCAGTACTTTTTTTTGTCAGTGCAACTACTCCACTGCACTTAATTTAGTCAACTTTGCACATATTTAGAACACAAGGTGTGTAGATGTGCATATTACCGGGAAATTCCGATTCCTTTATTTTTTTCCACTGAGATTTTTTGGCCACACCTTGAATATAGAGATGAACAGTTTGGCAGCGAAACACCTCATTAACCGCAACACAGAATTTGGTCAAACTTTGCAGATAATTAGTACACAATGTGTAGATGTGCATACTACCGGGAAATTCCGATTCCCTTATTTTTTCTGGAAATTTCGGCGATTTTAATCTTAGATTTTGGCCGTATCTTAAATATAGAGATGAACAGTTTGGCAGCGCAACTCCTCATAAACCGCTGCACAGAATGTCGTCCAACTTTGCAGACATTTAGGACACAATGTGTAGATGTGCACATTACCAGGAAATTCCGATTCCTTTATTTTTCCCAGGAATTTAGGCACTTCGAGTTTTAATTAAGGGAGTGTGGGGTATGTGAGCTTGCTCACTTTTCCTTTCATTATTACCAGTGGCATATTTATACATTGCATACCTATCTGAATGAAATATGTAGATAACAAACAGTAATCTAGATCGAGGTCCATAGAAACAATACAGAGCGGGAGCCAAGAAAATACCGACCTCTAAAAAGAAGAGTGATCGAACACACCCACCATGTGTTTCTTGTAACGATCTAAAAAATGAAAAATCCAAAGACAATTCAGTGTGTAAGAAAGACCTAAGTATGAGAAATGGCATCCAGCATTCGACTAAATGAGGGCTTATATATATGCTGACAAAGCGATTGTATCAACCATAGAAGTTATGAAATGATGACCTAAACCAGAATTATAGATATCCATGTTTCATTAACTTGTTTTCAATAGCCTACCTTGTTTTAGAAATTATTCGAACGTATATAATGGTCTTGCAAATTAGATCAACTGGGAGACAAATGCCTATTGTGCAGATGATTTAAGGAATGAATTTAATAGCTACCCATTTTATACGTTATAAAGTGGGTTGGGGCAGTTTACGCTTTATAAACCGCGAAGCGGTTTATAAAAAAGCGTAAACTGTTCCAACCCACTTTATACCGTATAAAATGGGTAGCTATTAATTTCATTGCTTATAATTTAATTTTCATTCATTCGCTGTAAGAAAAAAAGATAATTGTTCTAATAAAATGACTTCAATTTGTACAAAATTTGAATGTAACGTCAGGCGGATTGATACGTTTTTGACGCAAGTCAATGGGACGAAGGCAACCCATTTTATACGAAATTTTTTATCCAATCAAATACAGCGTTACAACCAGAATTAAATTATAAGAATTTATTATGTATCTGCATAAGTAAGGGAAGTTGACGATAGAGAAAAAAGAAATTACGTATATCAATTAGTTTAGTTTTTAGTTAACAATCCACGCTTTTTTTCAGTACATTTCTTAGTTTGTAACGTTCCTCTCAAAAAAATTTCATTCGTATGGACATGCCACCAATTGCCGGTGGATTGCTGTAAATTTGAACCTATGATAGACACTTACGACCATTGAGCAGAGAGGGATCTTTTTCGTGCCAGCACCTACTGCGACACGGGGCCTTGGTTTTATACAGTCTCATCCAAAGGACTGATCACCACTTAGTCTTCCTGCAGTGAATTCGAAATCATGAGGTAAGGATCAACTCCTTACTCTGCGACTCTAGAGCAGACGTCGCTCTAACCACTGCGCCACGCGGACGACTTTATGTATGCTATATGTCCAACTATGAAACACATGTGTCATCCTCTTTAGTATCCTTCATTTCAAGTTCACTGGGATTTATCGCCGTCGGCATATGAATTGATTGATTGTATGTTGTTTATACCTCTAATTTGAAGATATTTTACTCATATAAGGACATGACATCACTACCGGTGAAAGGCTTCAATTCGGTTGTTTAGGTCTTTTAAGGACCAGCAACTTTCACTTCAAGGTGCTGAGCGCATGGCGAGATACAAGTTACTAGTATGAGAAGGCAAGGACTCCCACAAGTAAGGAATACTTTCTATGCACAAAAATTGGTGCATCCATTTTTAAAAATCATTTTGTTTGGTTGTTGCCGATTAGAAATCATGAGTACAATGTCTGATTGTTGTATTTCATTCTGTTCTCAATATTCAGCGAATAAATATTTAGCAACATCCATTTATGATCAATCTATTTGAATTTAAAACAGCTTGTTTGTAAAGAAGTCGTATCTATAAGAAATGAATTTAATTTTTGAAGATTCATGAGGTTATGAACTACGACGCTTCACGCCGGCATATTTCATGAAGCGCGTTAGCGCTTCATGAAAAATATGCCGGCGTGAAGCGTTGTAGTTCATATACCTCATGAATCTTCAAAAAATTAAATTCATTTCTTATATTTACATTATTTTTCTGATGACTTGCCATAAATTTACGCCGTTCAACTGTCATTTTTAAAACAAAACGTGTGCACTATAATTTTTTGACTTTTTGACGTCAAGAGCGTTATTATGACGTAACAATGGAGATATTCATGCTTATTCGTGGTACATACCTAATGTAGTTCATGAGAAAATACACTGCATTTTATTTTGTAAATAATCATAGGGGAAATTTATTGGAAATGTAAATAAGTATACCAGTACTACCTGTACTTGACAAGAGACTGAAGGTTTCCTTTCCATGAACATTAAATATTACTGGACATAATATGTTATCGGGCTCGAGATCCGAGATGGTTGGACCTTAAAAACAACGTGAGCACTGAGGTCTTTTTAGCATTGTCCTAGCCACATTCTTGTATAATCTGAGGTCTTTTCTGCAATTTTGACTCGTATTTGTAAGTATGCTGCAGGTTCTACTCGATCGGTAGTTTAAATTTTTTGAACATTGTGGAATTTTAAGTAAATATCGTCTGACAGAGAGCACTGGTTCGCGCCAAAATGGCCGACATAGTAGAAATACCGCCTATCGACTCCTCGTGGACCAGAATTGTAACTGAGTACCCTATGACCAGCTTACCAAAAAAGCTCAACAAGAGAACAGGTAAAGCAAGAAACTCGCTATTTGTGGTATAAGTTGTGAAGAAGTTGATTTGA